GTTCGCAGAAAATGCAGCGAACATCAGTGCGTCCCTCAAATGTAGCACCCGTCTCCATAGCACCGAAATGTTGTGTCACATGGCCTGAACATAACAATAAGATGCTCGAGATACTCTTCAATATGAATGGTTAAATGTGGGGGCGGGGCTTGACCCTCCTTTATACTTAAAACCAATTGTTCCTTGTGAGAGCGTGAGAATTCTAAAATCCACTTCTTCAAGTCTTGTCTCGACATTTTCATATAACCAATAACATGACGACACCGAGTGTTTCAAAAACGAACTGTTTGCGCAAGTCAAATGCACGCGCCGATCTGGGGATGTTTGCATGAGCACCGTTTCTGCGTTCGCAGACACTGCAGCGAACATCAGTGCGTCCCTCAAATGTAACACCCGTCTCCATAGCACCGAAATGTTGTGTCACATGGCCTGAACATAACAATAAAATGCTCGAGATACTCTTCAATATGAATGGTTAAATGTGGGGGCAGGGCTTGACCCTCCTTTATACTTAAAACCAATTGTTCCTTGTGAGAGCGTGAGAATTCTAAAATCCACTTCTTCAAGTCTTGTCTCGACATTTTCATATAACCAATAACATGACGACACCGAGTGTTTCAAAAACGAACTGTTTGCGCAAGTCAAATGCACGCGCCGATTATATGGCGGCATACCAGAACATGCCATGTAACCGAGGGAAACAATATCAATTCGGATGGAGTCAGATATTAAAGAGATATGCAATGAAGATACGCTGATGGTCAAGTAATATGACATCAATAACTATGATTTCCAGGGGGTCTGGTATCACGTACATGTATAAGGTAGCCAACAACATGATAACACCTGAACTGTTTTGTTCATGCTATCCTCGTTGAAAAAATATTGAGGGATCTTGTTAATAACGTCATAGAATTTAAATAAGTAAGATTCTAATATATGTGTTGTCATTGGTTGAATTTAGGGGTTTTGTCGCTTTTAGTTAAGGGTCTCGAGTTGCAGTCTACCGAGAATGAGAGTTGTCACCGGAGTTTAACAAGATCGAGTGTTTGTCTGAGCTTCGGCGTAGATCAGTGAGCCCCTCTACATGTAAATTCAAAATGTCTACGCCAGCGAATAATCATTCTGGATTATCTACCGATTCAGATTCCGATGGGCGTAAATGCCAAAATAGTGATGAAAATTATATGAATGAATCACTGAAAATGAGTGATGACACCAGGTGATCGCGAACCGCTCAAGAAAGACGTGCATTACGGGTGGCCCGCAACTCTCTTTTATCAAAAACGTAAGTGTTCATTTGTTGCCTATACTCCTGTCATACGGCGGCGACCTGTAAACAATCGAATCTGGATCAGACAACTTGGTGATTAGGATAAGAGGCAATGATGCACATCAACGTTATACGAAGCCATGCTGTCAACCAAACCATCAAACATGACCACCCAATCCATTTGAATGCCCGTGAATGAGGAGGTGTAATAACTGCCTGAAGAGGTCATAATATGTCACAGCATTGCGCATCATGTTGACAAGCAAGTGCCACATTGTCTGCCATAAGCATGTTGGAAGCTTGGTGGTGAAACCTTGATTGTAAAGCTTAGTACATGTTCAGATGTGTGTCTTTCCGATTAGTGAAAATGGTACTCCGTAAGCTGCTATTGATGGCATATTGTGAGACACTAAGCGAAAAGCGACGAGTGGAAAACCGAAATCACCCCTCTTATCATACAGCATGCAGCAGAGATGCCATGCACAGATCCAGCTGAGAAACAAGATGTGCTTTCACAGTTGTTACTTTGTTTTCCAATCCCTGTGGTCAGATATTCATCATTGTTACCACTTTGCAAACTGTCCCTAATGACTCGATTGATGTTGTTTTTTTCTGTTCGTACGTGTATTTGATTATTTAGCATGGTATATAAAGACATTTTTGTCTATTATTGAGTGATATGTGGAATATTTATATAGTTCTACACTGTCAATTATTGTGATGAATTGTATAGATCTTGTTCATAGTGTCTGTGTTCATAGAAACACCTTTAGCAATGTATGGAACTGGTCTGTCATGTACTGAAATCATGGAATATCTATATGTGTTAAGAAATGGTTTTCAGGTCTGACTGCTCTTTAATGCCATGATGATGTACAAATAATATTTTGTTGCAATTTTCACTCATTGAAACGCTAATTATACTCTTTATACCAAATATACCTTATTTTACGTGCCAAATTATTGTGGTTTATATTGATTGCATTGAACTGCGAAAAAGGAAGCAGTCACCATATATACCTTCTAAAAACTATAAATGACACACCACCGCGAATGTAATTAGTGAAAAATAAATTTTGGTCAGGGCAGTTTTCAATACATGTGCATGTTTGCTTGCTCAAAGCACCTGCCACAAACCACTTACGACTTGCTAGAACTCGGTTAACGCTAAATTCAAGCTCATGGGCGCATGGGTTCGAATCTCGAATTCGCCTCGGTGGCCCAGTCGTCTAAGTCGACGCTCTGCAAAGTAGCGTCCCTTGGACACGCCATAAACCTATGATTGTGGGTTCGAATCCTGGTTCGCCCCGATTATGTTTCTAGGTTTGCAAGCACCATATCCGTGCTCGTGGGTTTCACCGAAGTGGTAAAAGTCTAAGACCTGCATCACTTCGGGCTTTCCTCCAACATTAAGCTGCCACGCCGTGACATAACTGGAATAGTGTTAAAAGCAGCGTTATACCCAACTCACTCACTCACTAATAAAAATGGTAAACGTCTAGGTCCTGCATTCGGGTTTCCGCTCATGTCAAACTGACACGGCATCTATAATCTGAAAAACTGAGTGAAACGCAAGAGTTTACGCGAGCCTAGACGTAGAATGTTAGCGTCTCGGAGTCCCATTAAGGCAATATTCAACTTAGCAAAACGTGTATACTTTGTACTTCTACCGGAATGCTGTTTACAACTATCTATTCTTTCAGAACCACATAAGACCGAGGTAGAATAGGTTTTCAACAACCCAGGCTTGCCGTAGGAGGCGACTACAGGGATCGGGTGGTCAGGCTCGCTGACTTTGTTCTCATGATCTAAATTGCATGGATCGATGCTCATGATATCAATCACTTGATCATATAGGTGGAATATGGCTGAGTGTGGCGTAAAACTACCAACCAGCCAACCAAAACCATATAAAATCGTATAACTTTGAATTCTTGAATAACCAAATGTTACTTCAATGACAAGAAACGTGAACATCGTAAGTAGACATTATTTCATTGTTTATACTGCAAGATCAGTCAGGACTAAGGGCAGAAAATAACAGTATTACCCCTCTGAGTAGGTTCACTTCATTAGTATATGATTTTCTAAACCTAATATGAACGATCTTTGAAGAATTGTCCGAAGAGGAAATGAGCATGTTCTCATATACCTACAGTACCGCCCCAATGCTATTTCTGATAACGTGTTGATCTCACAAGATAATTTATTTAACCTTTCAAACCTTACACTGGCTGATCACATGATCGTAACTCATCATACCGTCATCATCGATGTGAAGTTTGGTCATTCGAAGAATCCTCACAATTACTTAAAGAAAAAGCGATGAAGATTACGAAATAAGTATGTCTTAAAGGAGAGTATGGCATTGTGATAACAACTGTAGGTCTTAAAAAACAAACATACAAGTAGATTTCGTGAACAGTACCATTTATTTTAGCGGAAAAAATCAACTAGGATTAACTCAACACGTCATATGGGTGCGGAACACGTGGGTTGAGTCATGTGAGTATCGTACATTTTTTTACGATCGGAACAACAGCCTATAAGCCGTAGAGTTATCAAAACCGGAACCAAAGATGCCCTTTCGGACATATCAGAGGATTAGTATGACCACATAGTGTTCGTCAGTGGTTACATGAATTGTGTATGGCCCACGTCATACATTGCGGTCATACAAGCATATTTTTTTTCGGAAAACCTAATTGAAAATAGTTTCATGTCGATAATCAAATAAGTCAACTCGTTTTCATTGACAGTTTAAACCGAAGATAGGAAAACTAATGATGGTAATAAAAATCGAAAGTTGGTGACGACAAATAGAAAATTCAAATAAGACACACATTGCCGTCCTTCCACAATATGTCACATCTACATGTAGAAGAGTTCAGAACAAACAGGAGTTTCAAAGTGCCAGCATTGCGGGCTGTTACAGGAACATGTTTACAAGAACTGAAACGATCAGTGACGTCGTCGCAAAGGTCGCGTGATCCGCCCCACCTGCAACGAAAAATACCAAAACGTAATTTCTTGAAAAAAAAACATATAACAACCGATGCTGAGTGTCATTAATGAAGTGTGTTACGAGGACTGTGTACGTTATGTGCTCATAAACTAACTCCAAGGACATTATCTTAATTAGTTTCATATTAATACAAAAGTGATACTTGTGATTTTGGTATGTATCACACGAAATATCCCACGAGCAAGATGGCTGAACCCGGACATAATTCGGGTCTAGTGTAGGGTTACAGAAGTGATGTACACACTCATAGAAATGCATGGGCTTAGGAACAACACTTACACTTGGCTTCGGTTATCTTGGTGTTGGTGTCAGTCAGAAGAGCTGCCTGGGTTTTGGCAGTACACCCTGCCTCGGTAGTGGTGGTGATAGCAGAGAGGCAGGTTTTCAGTGTAGTCAGGACACTTTTAGACATAAGTATTTGAAACTGTATTATTTCCCTCAATTAAGGTAATAACCACTTCAATATTTCAGGTAAGGAAATGTCAGAGTAAACGAGGAAAACTGAAACGTCGACAGTGTTGCACTAGGACAAAGAAGGAAACTGATATTGTACATACATACTAAAGTGAGACCATTATGAAATGAATGCTTTATATTTAGTCTGATAGTATTGCACTCGCCTCTTACAGAGATGTGGACAAAACAAAATGGCGTTGTACTTAAACGCCGTCTCTTAACAATGAAACCTTTAGTTTAACTCACGTGCACTTCTTGGCATTATCAGAGGTGTCTGCTTTAGCGGCGTCAAGCTCACACTGGCAGGCGGTGGTGACAGCTAAACATAAATAACAAGATGGTATTAAAACTATTATAAATGAGTAACGGCAACGCCAGAAAAGAACCAGCCTCGATTATCAGCCGAAACAAATTCCACCAAACGTAAAAGGCAAAAGGCAGTTAAAATTATAGAAATGAATCCCTGAAAGTCAGTGATGACACCAGGTGTTCGCGAAAAGAGTATGCATGGCATCCTCTACCGTAAGCACCGCTACTCACAATGTTCATGCAAGTAAGTGTTTTTTTGTGTCCTTACGCCGCACAGATATACTCCTATCATTCGTCTGCGGCCTGTAAACAATCAGCACTCATGCGAGTCGCCAAAAGCTGTGAAAACGGGAATCGAAAGCTTTTATTGATTCTACAAACATCATTTAAAAAAACCAGATGCATATTTCTAAAACTTCTCTCAAATTGAACATTATTATAAATGAGTTATGCCAATATTTCCAGTTTACTTACTGCAAGATGCTGTAGATGTTACAGAGAGAGCTGCAGCAGACCTTAGAGCGTCTATGGTAGTACCGCTTGCACAGGGTGCAGTGGTCAGTGAGTAGAGACATTCGAACTGAGCCTTGTAGGTACTATGAAAAAGAAGGATGGATATATTTTAACTTATTGTGTACGCACATAATACAATTAGACCGTTAAGGAACGAATGTTGTGTTTGACTTATTCTAGTGTTATTGTCCACCGCCTCTTACAGACAAGGGGAGAGAGGGCAGGCCGGTCTAACTGCACCCTGAGGTATCCCAACACATACCCTGCACCAGTCAACAAATGAGTAATGTATTTGATAAATGGAACTCTGCAAAACTATTCTTTCCAATGTAGGCATTTTCGTTGTTTCGGGGCCCTACAATGCAGTAGAATAGAGATTTCCTTTGATTGTGTAATGTTTTTGTCTCATATAGTTTACTACTCTTCGTGTGTATTTGTCACGTTGTATCCAAAGTGGGCGTACCAAATTGACATTGTGTCTCAATGATAATGGCAATCTGTTTAATCATTTCAGGATAAAATAGTTTATTTCATTGCTTGCCTGGATGATTTATCCACTTAATGACTATTGGTATAGATGGGCATTTATCGTAGCATATGGTCGAAGGGGGACAACTCGAGGTGCATTGCGTGAAAATCGAAAGCGGAGTTGTCCAAGGGAGACAACCCTTGATATGTTTCGTTGTAAAAGAAAAGCTGTGTTTTGCTGGATTATAAGGGAAAGGGGCTTACTCCAGGTTGACTGGAATGTTAAACAGCCTCTTTATTTTCTTCGCAGTTGTGGAAGCAGCATTTATTAACCCCTTTTCCCTCCCTCGATAAGTGATTCATATTTTGTATTGAATAAACTAACTTACTATGGCATATACTATACTGTACTGAGTTTATTTTTCAGGTTGCAAGTTTGGTCGTTGGAACTTGACGTCCTTCCACTTTGTCACAGTTACATCCTACTGTCAAAAACGGTCTGATACCCGACGGGTCGATCTTTCCATTTCAGTCTGTTATTCACGGCGGAATACTTGCAGTCTGGGTATTGCAATTTCGGTGGGCTCACGATGTTGCGTACCCTCGCGGGCCATTATGCATATTGACACCCGGTAGTCCCCTTCGCCTTACCCTTTGGGGGGAATGGTCATTATTGCTTGTATGGTTTGTCTTGAGATGTGTGCATCCTCATGAGTCTAGTACTTCCTGCTCTATTGCCTTTGGGGCGGTAGTTTGTACAAGGCTGTTAGTTATTCCGAAAAATCGTCTTCTCTGTCATTTCCTGAATGGAGTCGTGGCCAGACTAACTTTATTGATGGCATGTTGTGTCTGAGAACTCCCTGTTGTTATTACTGAATAATTGAGTGAGTGAGTTTTGGCTTTACGCCGCTTTTAGTAATATTCCAGCAATATCACGTCGGGGGACACCAGAAATGGGCTTCACACATTGTACCCATGTCGGGAATCGAACCCGGGTCTTCGACGTGACGAGCGAACGCTTTAACCACAAGGCTACCCGACCGCCCCTTTTACTGAAAAAAGAATACGTACCATATGTTTAAAGCATAAAATAACTCCCCCCCCCCCCCTCACCCCCCCTCACCCGTGAACATTCATGCTTGTCGACAGAGGCAACTAACGGGATCGTCTGGTAAGACTCGCTGACTTGGTTGCTGCATGTCATGGTATCCCATTGCGTAGATCGATGCTCATCGATTATGTACAGACTGCCTTCATCACATGCTGTGTCTGAAATTACACCCTAAAACCTCGAAGTAAACACTGCCGCAATAACAAGTTTGATTTTAATATCCGCCATGTTTTGACAATGAATGAACTTTAGCTTAACTCACGTGCACTTAGTGGCATCAGAGATGTCTGCTTTAGCGGCATTAATTTCACACTGGCAGGCGGTGGTGACAGCTGACAATAGATAACAAGATGGTTTGGATAATATCATCAATAAGTAATGACAATATAATCTCAGTACGTTTAAAACGTTGTAGGGTCATTGCAACTACATTTCATGACTATTAATATTACATTCGTATTTGGTTAATTGTAAGCGAACCTTTATGTCATTCTGCTATTGGTCAGTGCGTGTTTACATGACTAACTATTATGACTCAACGCGTAGTGAAAGAGTTAAGCTAGATGATGTTTGTAACATACTACAGTCTGTGCTTCCCAGATTTGTTATCCTAGTCTCTACGCCAGTAGCCAGAGCTGCTACAGTGGTGGAACCATCACAGGCCACATCTGTCTTCCCCTTCAAGCACGTGATGTAAGCCTTCGCGGCGCTGTGGATATAACAATGTCAACTTTACATCAACTGTAGTTGGCGGAAAAATGAACGTTACAAAAGACGAAGGTGAACAAACACCTGTCTCCCCCTTCAAGCACAGTATGTAAGCCTTGGCGGTGCTGTTAGTAAAGCAATTTTAACGTGACACCAACTATATTTGATTAGATTTTAAATGGAACAATACTTTGTCAATGTTTCTTGGTTTGGAATACATTACACTGGTGGACCTATTATTTACATTTCATTTAGTTGCTTCTGTAGATATATCTTAAAGATACTATGAAGAACGGTTATTTTAAAATGTCCCGAATTAATTACCCCAAAACTGTTCATCGAACACGGTTGGGACGCTCACCTATTGGCGAACGCCTTGCATCATCACTATTTGCTATTGATTAGTACACTTATCCGTATAATATAGTCAGAACCGTACAATGGATTCTGCTTTGAGCAGAGAATTCTGACGATCATTGAATGGGTTTTGTCGCTTTTAATTATTGGATATGTGAATTGATTACCTGCAAATAGCTGCAGCATTTGCACTTTGGTCCGTCTTCCAGAATTCTTTCTGACAATTGCAGGTTGCTGTAAATACTGCCTCTGTACAACAAAATACACACAGTAATAAACACAAATCATTATCTTACATTAAATACTGGCTTCTGATTGGTTTAGGAGCAGGCAATTATTTTCCATCTGTGAGCGGGTTCCACACTTCATGTCGGCCGCTGAGACATGACAGCTTGGGTTACATAGGCTCACACAGGGTTTATCACATGCACACCATATACCCCTCAAGATAAGTTGACATCACGTAATATACGCATGCGTTTGTATTCTATCACTGTTTTGCACATACAGAAGTATGTCAACATACCCCCACTACAACTAAAGTCGCCATAACCAGTCTCAATGGCAGCGGCATCAGCAGTTGGTAGCGGACACCCGGTGTCAGTCTTCGCAGATGTCTCAAGGCAGGTCAGATATGTCGCGAGTGCACTGTGAAAGGGAAAACAATCGGATACACACATGCAGGACACCGTCAATGACATAAGAAGCGTTGATAAGTTGTTCGAGGTGATAAACACCATCTGGCATGAAATTGAGTTTGATTTCATTCGAGGACTGCACAAGTCAATTCCACACAGGGTAGGAAAGGTTGTGGTCATGAAGTGGCGTCTACACGTTACGCAAAAGAGATTTTCAATGATATAGGGACTTTTTAAAGCTTATTTTCTAACTAGTTTTGAATCGTACGAATATCACTGGAACGCGCCTGTACCCTGTCAACGGAAAAAGTAGAGCTTAAAAAATTCGTGATGTGTACACAACATTTCACAACGACATGTTGAACACTTTATGAGTTGTGAGCTAAGGCCAGGTTTACACAGTGCCGATTATGGCTCCCGTTTGAGATCAGACAGCGCTACGACACGAAAAGTGAAAAAGTCCGATTACTATCCTCAATGATCTGGTGTGTCCTATCATTGTCTGAACGAAGTAGTATACGTGCGTAACAGAGTCTTACGGATCGGGAAAGGTCCAGAGAGGTCGGGAAACTCGGATTACAATCGTGACTGTGTCGTGACAGATTCTGCTGTATCGGATAAAAATCGTAACAATGTCCCGTGTTGTCTGGACGGTGGTATGTGGATCGGGACGCTATCGTGATGAACGGGCATTAATTGTTCATTGTCGTTTCTTGTCGATTGAGTCCAGATTGCGTCCAGATCTTGCCGAATGCCAATCGTCTCTGTCGCTTCACTGTCCGGTCACTGTCTGATCTGTGTCGGATCGCATTCGGGAGAATCGGGACGCTGTCGGGACAGATTCGGTCGTTTTTTACCACGGGGAAGATACAAATCGTATCAGATTCGGACTGCGAACGGGACAGTCCGGACGAATTCGGCCGGAACCGGCTGAATCGGGACGCTTCCTGAACAATATCTGATTGTGAATTTCCCGCCACGAATCACTGGATCCTGATCAGACATTTGACAAATTGTAATCGGGAATGACACTATCGAGGACGGCAATAATAATCCTGAATGGGTGACTGAGCCCTTAGGAAACGATCAACACTCTCATTTGACCCGGTTTCCAACCTGTTGCCCTTAAGCGGCTAAATGTAACAAAAGCAAATCGTGAATAGCCAAATCAGCCAGTTCAGTGCAACAAAGTTTTGAACGGATTATGAGTTATGCTCCGGTAACGATTCCTGACGGACGGAACGGACCGTTTCAACATCTCCCGCAAAACGCCGTGATACATGGGTCAGCAATACTCAACTTAAAGATGTGATCATTAATAACGTCGTTTAACTACCATAAAATATCTTCCTTTTAAAGATAGAAAATGAAAGTTTGTAAATTATGATGCTGTGTTTAAAAAATAAGTTGCTTATCAAACGTATCCGAGAAACATTAGAGTAATTTATAAGGTACATTGGAGTAAATTACCTACTCACAACCCAGACAACCAAAGGTGATGTAGAGGCACGACAGTTTACGACATCAATTAGATATTGACGACTTACGCGCATTTCTGTGTATCTGTGGCGCCGGAAGTATCTCTTGCAGCCACATACGTATCTTTACATGCAGTGCAGTCGGTTGCAAACGCTTTAGGGCTGTAACCTGAAGGAAACACATCAGATAATTTAATCATGAAAGGATGTCTAACAACTGTTTAAAATATGGTTAATAAACAGTTCCTACGAATGAACTCGAATCGGCATACACAGAACAGCCAACAGGAGCTATACTTTAACAGTTGTTTGCTGAAAATAGTACAATTCTCGATCGATATTTATGAATAGATTTTGTTCATTTAAAAAAAGTCTGTGTCCTTATGTTAAACTCTTCTCCTACATGTACAAGTAATATCTACTACAAACAGTGATCCACGCTTTGGGGATACTTTTTTTACTTTTATTTGTTTTTTCATGACGACATGTAGTGCTCGGTTCTGGAGCGGAACTAAAGAGCTGTTGAATACTTCTAGAATGAAACTTGTTGTACAGATCAGTCTTGGGGTAAACTGGTGCCTTTTGATCATGTTGGATTTGTGTAAATTGTATATTGTTTTTCAGTTTTCATAAAGACAGTTTGGAGTTTACTGAAAATGAGCATGGTAACACGTTGTCAGTGACTCAAACTGTTGCTTTGTGGTGGTTACCAATACAACTACAATGTGTCGGGTCAACTTTCCCTGTTTAAATCACAATTTGTGGCATGCATTGAAGGCATATTATAACAGTTGAGGTACATTTTCTATCAGTGTTCATTGTTGAAAATGTTTAAAGGTGGCAGTATATATAACAACCGACTTTCCAACATACAGACTATTTGTAGTATATAATTTAAATGTTCCTCAAATATATAACGTCTCCAAACATCTATGAATCAGACTGGATTTCTAGTATTCACGATAGAAATAAAGTATACATCAATTTCACGGCTTGCCACGATTTATAATTCAAGTATGAAAAGAAAACAACTGGGAAATAATTTTGTTAAAAATTGAACATCGAATGTACAAGATCGAACACAGCTCGTCATTAAACTGCCTATAATTGCTGGTGACACTAAAATTTGTCTGAATACTGTCACTTATATTATTCATAACTCAAATTGATAACATGTTAAGTAACTGACGTGAATGTTAGATACCAAAGCAAATAAACAACTTACCCAGAAGAAGCACGATCACGCCAAATTTAAACATGACTGTAATGTTTGCCTGAGAACAGTTTCTGCGTCTGGACGGGGATACACTGCGAATAAGATCAGGGCGTCCCCCTATTTGTAACGCCCGTCTCCATAGCACCGAAATGTTGTGTCACATGGCCTGAACATAACAGTAATATGATCTCGACAATTTCAATAAAAAACATTTGGACATGGGATGGAATTTGTGGGAGCTATAACCTCAAAATATTTGCTGATATCAATTGATTAATAGGGTAAATGATTTTGACAATGTGTTAACGCCACAATGAATCTTGAAACCAAATTCAATAACATTAATCATGAAGCAACATATAAAATAGAAGAAACTGGGTGTTTCCAAAATACATTGTTGGAGCAGGTCACATGCGTGATACGTCGATCAGATGACGGCATACCTACTTGGAGAACATGCAATACAACCAAGGGCAACAGTGTCAACTACGAGGGAGACAGATCATATGGAGATATGAGACAAAGACACGCAAGATGTCCACTGATAATAGTACCAGCAATGATTCCCAGCGGATCAGTGTCTCCATTAGTCCTTTGAATCATAACACCAAGTCATAGACGAGTGCACATGTGTCTGTCACACCCAAAAAACACCCAGATATTTGTAACTCGTTACAGGCAGGACTTGGCATGACGCAACTTGCTGGTACATCTACAAAGAAGCCAACAACTCCACGTTATTGGGTGCGCCTGCCCTGCTTTGTCTGGTATCTGGTGAATAATTGAAATATTGTCGTGATGTAAGTGATGTAACAAACCACAAAAATAAAGTATACAGTGTCAAATAAGAAACGCAACATTGCTCACAAGTAACGGGTTTTAGTCTTGAATAGTTTTATAGTTAAAACACCCATTCTGGTTTATAGTTGTGCAGGGTTTTCAATGTTGTTATTCTTCTATTTTCGATAAGATTCGAATGTGGATGGAGAATATCAGATCTTTTTCCAATGAAGTTATGACAACTTGCCTTTATTACCTTGGACTTGATGGTAAAATGCTTTTCATAATTATAAGAACTCTGCTAAAATCAGAGTCCAGTGAAAAGTAACAAAGTAAAACAATCTGAATTTATGCTGTTGATTTTTTCGGGATAATGTTATTGTATAAAGGAACTACATAAGACTGAATCCTGCTGGGGAACCGTGCAGGTAGCAGAAGTATTGTAAGTCCCCGTGGTCCTTAGTATGGTGGCCTAACTTTGGTTGCTGGCGATGTATAGGCATTTTTTTTATATTGTGTTATTAAATCATAGTTTATTCGTTTACACGCGGTCAAACTAGTTCTAAATGATCTAGTTATTTCTACTGTCCTTCGGCGACAGTTTTTATACTGTCAAAATGTATTTGTTGTTAATGGTTTGCTTTACTCTCGTCACGATATGGCTGAAATATTGCCGATGTGACGTTGAGTCTTAACTCACATACTCGCCCATAAGACTGAAATACACATAAAAGCTTTGTTGTTTTGTCTATATAATCGTTTACAGTTGAGTAGCCTTTTCCGGCGTGTGTCTGCATCTGCCTTGTGGGAACACGTTGGCCGACAGGATGGATATGGCACTGCAGTTCCGAACTAACTAGCGAAAGACTGTGGAAAGACTACAATATACTTTCTGTCCTAAACATCTGGCTGGAGACTGACTACAATACCATTTCGTAGTGCATGTACATGCGTAATTTGATGTCTGTTGTCGAAACTAAGCTACATATATTAATTACAGTTTTGCCCTTCATACCAAATCGAAAACATACCATGTGTTAATCTAAATGATACACGCTATGCCTGAAACACGACTTTCTAATATTGGTAGAATAAATTGGATAACTAAGATTGTTAGTGCCTGTACCTCGAAGGGGGTTGAAGTAGTGTAAAAAGGATTGTCCCCCGGAGATGGTACGTAAGTACACGTCATTCACAGTATATTTATTACTACCACGTTTTTAAACGCAGAATATATGTTCTTTTAATTCGGCTAAATTGACAATAATCGCCAACACCTGGCTGGGGGCCTTGCAGGAAGCTCAAGTACTGTAAGTCCCCATGGTCTCTAGTATGGTGATCTACCTTCAGCTGCTGGCTATCTGTAGCTCTATTTTATAAGGTATTGTTCTGTATAGTAATGTATTTTTATGGTTCCACGCTAGTTTTAAATCATAATCTGTGATAAGTCTAGTTATTTTACTGTCCGTTGTTGACAGGTCTTTATAGTTTCCATGTATTTACTACATATACCCTTTGTAAGTCACGATTAGCTGAAATATTGCCGATGTGACTGAATTTTTTTATGTCACTCACTCACTGAAACACGACTTTTTCAAAACTATTACACGTTTTCCTATCTTACGTTTCCAATTAAATAATTAAATAATGTAGTTAAATGTGTTATAAGTTTCAAATGTTTGAAGAGAATAATGGAATACGTATTCCTAATGGTATATTCTTACCTACCAAGAAAGCTCCCAAATATACTCTACAGGCATCCGAATCATGTACATTATCTTACATTATAAATCTGTCACACTTTGACTTAATACTGTTACAGAGAGTATATAGAAGATTTTCACTTACTCATGAGTTTTTATTGTTTTATAAATCTCTAAACTTCGATGATGCGAAACATAAATTGTACACAAGAAGAACAAGGAGACAAATACTTCTTGAATATTCAATAAGGTAGGAATCCCACGCTCATATGTTGGTTGGTTGGTTGGTTTGTTGTTTAACGCCGCACTCGGCGGTCTGTAAATAATCGAGTCTGGACTAGGCAATTCAGTGATTGATATCATGAGCATCGATCTACGCAATTGGGATCGATGACATACATCGACCAAGTCAGCGAGCCTGACCAGTCGATCCCGGTAGTCGCCTTTTACGACAAGCATGGGTTGCTGAAGAGCTATTCTAATCCCGTTATGTAAAACAACAGAACCAACATCAGCAGGAAAATGTTGAAAAATTCTTCATGAGCTTGTATGATACAAATCTAATGATACAGGTTGCTGAAGAATTTGGCTTTGGTGTTAAAGATCAGTTCAATTATAATCTAAATGTTTTGTAGATAATGATCGTGAGGAGTCAAAATAACCATCCGCCTTGTCTCAGTAGACAGGACATCCTTACCCTTTTCGTGAATAGCTGGTGTCATCATTGACTTCCAGTGATCCAGTGATTTAATGTTCGTCTCTATTTTGCCTTTTACGCCATGTGGCATTGCATAATCGAAACCGCCGTCACATAGCTGGAATATTGCTGAGTGCGGCGTCAAACAACAAACCAACAAACCAAGCATAATCGAAACCGTTTTTTTCTCTGGCGTTCACGTTCGATATTTGTAATCATTTGTTTCGCTTGACGTTAGGAAGTTGATGCAGATGTAAATGCTATGTCGATAGAAGTGGACGACACACGCTGTTGGTGTGCATCATATTACAGGTCGATACATTTCACGATTTCACCTCTGATTTACGACCTATTCAACATTTAGACGCAAGCAACGAGGGTATCTGTTGAGATACAGCGTCACTTCTTTATTCAGAGGGTGTCAATTATTGGTCACTTAGTGTGATGCTAAAACAGAATTAGGCATGCAGTAAAATTAAAATTGATATTACAATTAATATACTCTTCAAAACAAGAAACGCAAAACGGATATTTGTGGCCATAAAAGCAAAATTAGCGGACCAAGATGTGCAACATGAAGAGGTTTCATATGTTATAGTGTCAGTGACAAATTTCCCGGGTCAAAATTATCACAAGGACATGTAAGACATTAGCCGGGAAACACCTACGATTCCGAAAAACGCACCCAGTGTATTAACACATTGGCCACGTACTGCACGTGCAGCAGCACTTTGAACGGTAATAAAGAGCAGGGTTTTTGATTGCCTGGCATCTGCGTCAATCGATAAGTGACAGTTCAACAACATGCCAAGATTAACAGGCCGTCATAGGCCGCTTGCAGGCAGGGGAATCCCGATCAGCTGTAGCCAGAGTTTTCAATGTAGCGCCCAGCACCATCACAAGGCTATGGGATCGGTTTCAACAGCAACATTTGACCGGCCAAAGTCGGGACGACCAAGAGAAACCACCCCCGCCCAAGATCACTACATCCGACTGCGCCACCTACGCGAAAGGACGACCACAGCCACCTCAACCGCATCCCAAATACCAAGTGTCGCAGAATCTCAAACCAGACAAAACCGTTTAAGAGCAGCAGGTCTACGAGCAAGACGTTATGCTCGACGCGTCAAATTGAGCCGACAACATCGTCAACAACGACTGCATTGACGTCGTCAACACAGGGTATGGTCTCAGCTGCGATAGAGAGATGTCTGGTTCAGCGACGAATCAAGATTTCTCCTCCGTTGAGGGGATGGAAGAGGACGGGTCTACAGACGTCGGGAAGAACGTTAAGCCGGAAACTGCGTACAGGAAGTGGACAGGTTTCGTGGGGGTGGTTATCTCCCATCAGGGCAGGACAGGTTTGGTCCATATCCAGGGCAATCTTACGGCTCAAAGATACATCAACGAAATTCCACAACCACACGTCCTCCCAATTGCAGCCAACGTGTATTCCAGCAGGACAACGCTCGACCGCATACAGCACGGGTCACAAGAGCCTGTCTACACAACAACAACGTTGATGTTCTCCCCTGGCCCTCCAAATCCCCGGTTTTGAGCCCGACAGAGCACCTTTAGGATGAAATGTTTAGACGGCGTCAACCACAACCAAAGACGTTGCAACAGTTGGCCGCCATCGATTCCAACGGGGGACATACGCGTTATTGATGATACCTGACCTTCACTTTGGACTGTTCCTATATGCCGATAACTGAGATGACTACAATCACCAAGTGTTCTCTCCACAATATTTTGGCTTAACCTTGTACAGTTCCTCGTATGAATGTATTTTCCTACCTCACACTAATCTGGCTTTGCTTTTCTCTTTTTGAAGAGTATATTATCTGAAAATGTCGCTTGGAAAATCACAAACTTAATACCACACTTGTTGTCAATGGCGTTGGTCAAATGAATACCAACACATTCGCAGATTAGGTGTTGTCCCCCTAAGACCTTTTCCCCCTATTGAGAAAAAA